GAAAGGATTTCTTCCGCAAAATAAGAGAAAGTTAGGCCCTGGAAAGAGGCTTCTCTATTCATATAAATCACTTACCTATGAATGAATGCATAATATAATTTTTTTCCTAAAAGATTTAAAAATAAACAAAGTTACCTGACCTACATCCTGACCCATACTTATTAAAGAAGGCTGTATAGTTATGGAGGAATAGTCCATATTTGAATACAGATCATTTGCATAGAGGTGTACATGACGTGGACGGGTCTACAAGCAGAGGGGTGTTCTGACTGGTTACGTGACATTCAGGTTTGAATCCTTGAAAAGATGACACATATTCTTTTCTGCGGCAAGAATTACAGTTCTAACCGGCACAGTTATCTGCGATCATGGAGTCATGGAGCCCTAAATCGCGAAGCTCAAACCCCCCCCCCCCCCCCCCCCACCGGCCCCACCTCCCCAAAAACGCTGTCGTCGGCTGCCTTAAGAAGTGACAAATACAGCCCGTATAGAGAGTTTTGAGCAGTGTTGCCACTTTGGATGTTTTACATCCAGATTTATATGTTTTTCCTTGCATTTAGATGGCGTTTTTGACGTTTAGATGGTTGATATTTTCTAGATGTTTTTCATTTAGAGTGAATTTATCCGATCTAACCTAAGAAACAGGATGGAATTAGACCTTTTAAATGCTACCTTGACAATAAAATTCGGCCTGATAAGAGTAGGAAAACGCTGTTCCACACAACAGCTCCCTGATTGTGTATTAAAAGAAATTTAAACACCTAGAGCATACAAGAGTTATTTTAGATCTTAAGCTTCAACTACATAATCTAAGCTAAGTTTATCCTGTGGATCTTGAAAGGCAGACTTCAGTAAAGATGAGGACACGATTCTATAGGGTAAGTCATATCAATAGCTGTGTAACTTGTGACTCTTTCAATGTGGATGTTTTTTTCTAGATGTTTTCATGCAAATTTAGATGTTTTTAGATATTTTTGACTCCGCTTAGGATGTTTTTTGTCAAAGAAAAGTGGCAACACTGGTAGAATAGTTGGACTACGTTGCGGTAAGATAAAAGTTGGAAGAATAGAAAAGTAGAAGACCAAGAGAGAAGGACAGTTTGGCATGACTGCATAGACACAGTGCTTAATTTAGACAAAGGCAAACTAAGCTAAAAGTTAGGATCTCACAACCTGCAGAGGCCTTAAATTTCATTTTTTTTTTCACACGTATACTTTTTATTTAAAAATATATCCATAAACGTTCTAATTGCATTATTGTTATAGTAGGTATATTATCTCAAGCTTGTGTTTATTCTGCCTTGTAGTATATTTAACAAACTACTGGACGTTAATTTGCCTAGAAAACTACGCAACAGCCAGGGGCTGTTTGGGTTGGTTCTGCAACGTCCTGTAAAGGATACGCAACTAACCTTAGTATATTTGAATTGAATATAAACTAGAGGTTAAAATCCAGTGGATCGATTTCATTGCACTGTGTTTGATCTTATTTAAACTGTTAGTAGATTTATAGACTACATGAGGAAAGGTCAAACAGACATGCCAGATATCGCATTTGTTTCAAGTTGAGCAGGTGAAGGACACTTTGGCACATGTAACCTCCGGCCTATGATGCCACACTCAAATTGTCACAGACAAAATACTGCTCGATGCTTGATGTGGTCAGTATCACATCGGTTGCTTTTACTTCCCAAGACATTACCCAGTCCAATGATGGGCTGGGTGGAAAAAAAAGACAAGTTTTCAACCAATCCAACTTGATGTGGATTTGAACGCAAAGCATTTGGGCAGTCAGATGAGCGTCTAGTCATTACTCTATCACTGCGCCCATCATGTTCAGTACCTTACATTATTTCTAGGTCATGTGAAAAGTTTCTTTTAGCGGTACACCCAGGTGAAGCCTTGGAAAGTAAAAGCAGTCGGCGTGAGGATTACCACATCAACCACCAAGTGCCTACTGCTCTATAGAATGCAGGGCCAGCCCTATATGCACATTAGGCCTGAAGGCGTGGACAATGGTCCTACTCTATTCTGTGCCAGTGTCTCTCTGCCAGCTGCCAGTCTTACACCTGTCCAGTGTCTCTCTGCCAACCGCCAGTCATACACCTGTCCAGTGTCTCTCTGCCAACCGCCAGACTCACACCTGTCCAGTGTCTCTCTGCCAACCGCCAAAGTCTTACACCTGTCAAGTGTCTCTCTGCCAACCGCCAAAGTCTTACACCTGTCCAGTGTCTCTCTGCCAACCACCAGTCTTACACCTGTCCAGTGTCTCTCTGCCAACCGCCAGTCTTACACCTGTCCAGTGTCTCTCTGCCAACCGCCAGTCTTACACCTGTCCAGTGTCTCTCTGCCAACCGCCAGACTCACACCTGTCCAGTGTCTCTCTGCCAACCGCCAAAGTCTTACACCTGTCCAGTGTCTCTCTGCCAACCGCCAAAGTCTTACACCTGTCTAGTGTCTCTCTGCCAACCGCCAGTCTTACACCTGTCCAGTGTCTCTCTGCTAAATGCCAAAGTCTTACACCTGTCCAGTGTCTCTCTGCTAAATGCCAAAGTCGTACATCTGTCCAGTGTCTCTCTGCTAAATGCCAAAGTCTTACACCTGTCCAGTGTCTCTCTGCCAACCGACAAAGTCTTACACCTGTCCAGTGTCTCTCTGCTAAATGCCAAAGTCTTACACCTGTCCAGTGTCTCTCTGCTAAATGCCAAAGTCTTACACCTGTCCAGTGTCTCTCTGTCAACCGCCAGTCTTACACCTGTCCAGTGTCTCTGTGCCAACCGCCAGTCTTACACCTGTCCAGTGTCTCTCTGCTAAATGCCAAAGTCTTACACCTGTCCAGTGTTTCTCTTCTAAATGCCAAAGTCTTTCACCAGTCCAGTGTCTCTCTGTCAACCGCCAAAGTCTTACACGTGTCCAGTGTCTCTCTGCTAAATGCCAAAGTCTTACACCTGCCCAGTGTCTCTCTGCTAAATGCCAAAGTCTTACACCTGTCCAGTTTCTCTCTGCCAACGGCCAGTCTTACACCTGTCCAGTGTCTCTCTGCTAAATGCCAAAGTCTTACACCTGTCCAGTGTCTCTCTGCCAACCGCCAGTCTTACACCTGTCCAGTGTCTCTCTGCTAAATGCCAAAGTCTTACACCTGTCCAGTGTCTCTCTGCTAAATGCTAAAGTCTTACACCTGTCCAGTGTCTCTCTGCCAACCGCCAGACTCACACCTGTCCAGTGTCTCTCTGCTAAATGCCAAAGTCTTACACCTGTCCAGTGTCTCTCTGCTAAATGCCAAAGTCTTACACCTGTCCAGTGTCTCTCTGCCAACCGAACGAAAAGTATATCAGCTAGCTTCACATTATAACAAACACAAACGAAATGTAGTGAACGTTGCGGTTAAGGAGCCTTCTTCAGCACACACATAATTACACTACACAAATACATAATATAACTTATCTTCGTATCGCGTGGTAGCCAGGTCGATGTCAAGACAATTGTCTGGCGAGTCTCGTGCGGTCGAGAAAATTAATATCTCGGAATATGCCACAGACCGCCATTTGAAGATATGAGGAAATTTTGTAGGCAGTTCAGCCCCCTAGAATTTAGATGAAGCTTTGTTAGCAGTTTAGTCCACTTGGTGCCAGAGTTCCCAAGTTGTATATGATTTTTAAGAGACTTGTGAACTCATTCGCTTGAATAGCTAGATTTAATGGCTGTCACCTCGATGTTGTGAACTGCTTGGTGGTCCTGGGGATTGAAATGCAACGGTACTGGTTTCAGGGCGCCGTTCTGCACGTCCAAAAGATGTTGTCTGAACCTGTCAGCCAGTCGTAAACTCGTTTCACCGATGTATTTAATGCCACAACTCTTGCAGTTGGCGTAAATCGCCTTAAATCTCGTGAAATAGAAGGCTTCACTTATGTGGAAGGTGGCATTCGGGAATTCCAGGCTGATACCCTGAACCCCATATGGACAGTTCCTGCATACAGTTCTGTAGCAAGAGACCGTAGTAAAATGGGGATCTGAGGCAGGACGTAACCGACTCCTAACTAGAATGTCCTTGAGGTTACGGTCATGCCTGTAGGCCACTAGAGGAAGTTCAGAGAAAATCTGGCTAGTTGTAGGGTAAACCCTAATAATGGAGAGATGCTTGACGAGAATATTTTTAGCACAAATGTTGTGAGGGTGGTAGGTGAGTATGAGAATGGGTCTGTTGTGGTGACGTTTAGGCTTGGAAACAAGAGCCTCAGCACGATGAATGGACTGTGCCTCGGGGCCGGAAGAAGTCCAACATTTCTAGAGCCTTATGTCGAAATTCGACGTTCTCCTGGCATAGTCTGCAGAGGCGTAGAATCTTGGAGAAAGGAATGGAGTATTTACAGGAAGAGGGATGAGAAGACGTATAAAGAAGAAAAGCATCGAAATCAGTAAGTTTAAAGTATACAGAGGTGCTGATTCCATTAGAGTCCACGGTGACAATGAGATCTAAAAAATGTTCCGACAAAGGTGAAATGCTTAAAGTGCAACTGGGGCGGGGATGGATGTTGGAGAAAAAAAAAATATTATTGTGTTACTTCTCCCTCCTAGATAAATTTATGGTGCGCATATCTCTAGCCTGCTTCTACCCCCTTACCCGTTATCATATCCTGCACACTTTCCTTTGTTTTTACGTCTTTTTTTTTTTAAACCCAAATGTCGCTAACGAATTAATCACAACAGTATAGGTCGGGTCTGGAGGTCGTGGGTTCGGGTTCTGGTGGAACCAGGCTTTTTTTTTTTTTTCTTTTTGTTGACGGGAGGGGGGTGAAATGATTTTGGCTCACAGGTCGACCCAGGCATTAATGGGCACCAGATAAAAAGCTGGGAAGTAAAGGCGGCCGACGTGTTGTCAGCCACACCGAATGTCGATTGGTCAATAAAATAAGACACAGCCCTAAATGCCCAGTACGCCTGAAGTGTGAAAGAGGAGCCTTTACTTCCCTTTTACAACAGTATACACCCTCTACTCCGCAGGTGGCTGGAGACACATCGAGAGTACCACTGGAACCGGCTGGTGAAAGCTAAACAGGCGTTGGCCCGATGTTGCTGTTTCTTTTGCAACAAGCGAGCTGGGACTTATCTGACGGCCTTTTACCTCTTCATCAAGGTCATTTATGCAGCCAATGTCATAGGGCAGTTCTTCATTCTCAACGCCTTCCTATCTCAGGAATACAACTTCTACGGACTGGAGGTAGGCACTGGACTTGTGTCAACAAATATGCTGTCTTGTACTGAATTAAATGTGGTATAGGTGTGGTCTTTCTGGCATGTTGTGAGAAGAAATGGACTGCAGAATTTGATAACTTCTGTCAAGATTGGTGGGGGAAGGGGAAGTAAAAGTGTAAGAAGATAATTAACTGGAAGGCTTGGCTGTATGGATGGGGACTAGACAATAATACTGACATGATCCGTGATTCTGGTGATTGTGTATATCTACCACACCCACCCCCACCCCCAGTCCTTTTGTGGGAGGTAATGCGTTTCCTAGTTTCATTTTTCACTGGGTATCGAGAGACGCTCTCCGTGTTCATTAGTTACATCGGCTGTCTATGTTCCTGAGCTTTTCTGGCCGAGTCATTTCGTTGGTTACAACAATACAAGTTTGAATCGAGGGGAGGTAAACTAGAAACAGACAGGGTAGAACAAGATACAGTAATAATGGGTTAGGGCAAATAATTTGACTAAATGTTTAGGAGATGGTAGATACATTGTGTACTGTTTGCGAGCTTTTGTATCTACAACTTCAATCATGAGGATTGAGGTGGAGGCAGTCACTGCCGCTCTGAAGTGGATAGGGAAAAAAAGTGACCAGTTGAATGGACAAATGTAGCATAAGTGGACACTAAACATCGGCCTGTAAACACAATAGTCACTTGGCGAATATGCTGCAGGTACATGTTTGAGTGTGGAGGCATGAAACAGCGGATTGTCTGGCTACAAAAGCGATAGCTATGAGAACACTTGCACTGCACACATTCTGAAGATCATTTATGAACGAATGCTGATAGAAAACACCAGGTTAGATAAAATAACAAGTGAAAGAATGCCGGCAATGATGGGTGATGAGTACAAGATAGCGACATGTGTATAATCAGTGTACTACGGGAATAGCCTCCACACCTTTAGATATTAACTGCGGGAGAGGAAGCATCTATGGGTATGGCCGATGTGCTATGATGTCGATTCTTAAATCAGTAATTACTGTCTGGATTTGTCAGAGTACAGGGGCGGCGACTGTTCTAAAGTTTTTAGCGTTAGGTAACCTGAAACGAAAAGTCCTGTTGGGATTTCCGGCTAAAACAACAAGCAGAAACACAATACCCCATAAAGTATTCGAGTCAAGTGAACAGAAATTACAATAAAAATTTGAAGATTAGAAAAACTAATTGAAAACAACTAAGAAGAAGAACATCATTAAGCAAAAGTGTGACATGTGTGTTTGACTTCTCGGTCATAATGACATTTGTTGAGGACATAAAAGATTTAAATTAAAAACAGACGAGCACATATACGACCCTTACGTCCTTCTTAGGACGTAATTTTTTGTTATTTGAAGCCCCACTCTGGCTTTTGCCAGGGGCCGCAATATAGGCAGGTCATCATTATGGCCAAATGTCTGAACGCGGTTTCTGGGACCTCTCCACGGTGATCCTCATCCGCATGGTGGCACTTTGTGTCATCGGGTGTTTATCGCTTGTGTGATGTCCTGGTGGGGTAGAAATTCAGTCAGTCAGTCAGTCAGACGAGCACAATCAAAACAAAGCGGGGGAAAAAACAGGGACAGAAAACATACACAGTTGCGGAACTTGAAGAACCGATAAAGGAAGGTGACATTTGCAGATAATGTTCTTGCATGTAAAAGGGAAGCGATAGGCAACAGCTCAAAAACTACAGGTAAATGCAGACAAAGTGACTGACTAATCTGCAGAGATGATTGCAGACATCGTCAGCCCAGAAAAGGCAATTGTTTTGTGATGCTCTCTAGACAATGGGTCTGTCAGAGCTGAGGCCCCAAGCATTAGAGTTAACGATAGAAACATCATAAGAGAAAGCAAACTGAGATACCTAGGTATCACTGTCAGTAGAAGGATGTCCACCATGGACAGGCTGGAGTCAGTTGCAACAAAATATCACCAGAGACTCAGTGCACTCAAAATTGTGTCAGCAAAGGAATGGATCAAGGAAAGCTGTTCACAATGTTTTAGCAGTTAATAATTTCTGCAGCAGATCACAGACGTGGAATTCTGATTAAACTTGAGCGCAAAGAAAAGGAAACTATGAGAGTAATTCTAGGGTTTACAAGAGATACTTAACAGTACGTTTGCTATGTATAATTGCAATGACGACTTTTAAATATAAACTTAAATGTTCGCTGGCAAAGTCATATCTCAAAGTAACCGTAGACAAGGAACACCTCATGCAAGACACCTTGGATACAGTTAAAAGCGAACGACATGAAAAAATGTCCAAAATGGACGTATGTGCATGCTTGACAATATTGGGAAAGCAGAGAAGTGGGTTGGAGTGCCAGAGCAAGTCTCGTGTAGAATTCTATTCATATTGGGTCGGAAGTGCAGCGACTTAGAGCAACTGTCTCGTGTAGAATGCTATTAACATTGGGTCGGAAGTTCACAGATTTAGAAGCAGCCACTGCAGAATCAAAAGTTCGATAACTGGTTCATGACAATTCCTGAAATAGCGATGTGTTTAAATTTACAGATGGCTTTGGGTTGAGAGACATAAAATATGCTTGAGATTTGTAGCAAAGGGGGATAAACGAACTTTAGAGCAAATAAACCTATTTGCTACAATATTATACCACGTCTGGTGTGAAGACAGAGGTGAAGACAATCATTTCAGTATTCTGCTCGCTTGAGAAGCAGCTGAAAACACGTAATTGTGAGTTTAAAAAAAAAGTGAGGGATCCTCTTCCACGTCTTTAGGCGTATGGGGCATATAGGTCTAGACCAATCGACATAAGATGGATGATGTGGTGAGCATCACGCCGGTCGGCTTTACTTCCCGGGACTGCACCCGGTACGCACTCAAGGTTGGGTCTACCTGGGAGCCAAGGTCATTTTTGAAAAAAGTCTGGCTCCGCCAGGGAGCGAACCCACGACCTTCCGATCCGCGGCGAGCGTCTAGCCGCTCCTCCACGGCGACTCCCACACGTGATTGAAACTGACTAATAAATGATGCTGAGAAATGTGGCGACAAGTGAGCTTTCTGCAATGTGGCGACAGGTGAGCTACCTGCAAAGTGGCAAGCTTCGCTTCAGAAATATGGGGTCGTTAGAGTCCTTTGAATATACTTACTAGAGCATGCAAGTGTTTGGGAAACGAACAGGCACAGATCCTGGCTGGTACTGCATATTTGGTGGTAAATCGATGTACTGATCTTTTTGAGTCGAGTCAACAGAGAAAAGGAACAAATAGATCATCGCGTTTTAGAGAGACCGATGCAGTGGGAGGTGACCGGTGGATCTGACTGACACTCAGGGAAAAGGTGAGACGAAACTACTATCAAATAGCTAGTAGCACCATCAGAACTGGAACTGCTGAAGGTGAGGACGGTGCGCATTTAGGCATGACCTAAGTGCTGTGATGTTGGTTCTCTGCGAAAGGCAACACACACACATCAGAGACAGACAGACAGACAGACAGAGAGGCAGACAGACAAACAGAAAGACAGAGAGACAGACAGAGACAGACAGACAAAAGAATAACAACTATTATTAATGCTGCTTACTACTATCGCCGCCACTACAACAACCTGCTGCTAGAACTAATACTTTTACCACCACTGTAGTGACAGTCACTTACACTACCACTACTGCGGCTGTTGCTGCTGCTGTTGTCATTCCTAATACTACTACTGCTGCTACTACTACGGCTGCTGTTTCTACTACTCGTACTGCTGATGATGATAATGCTGTTGCTTCTGTTGCTGCTGTCGAAAGTGCTTCTACTGTAGCTGTAACTTTAACAACGAAAACGCGATTACCACAAACGTGACTACCACAAACGTGACTACCACAAACGTGACTACCACCACCACCACCACCACCGACCCGGCTACAGGGCTACCCCTTGCATTTCAGGTACTACACATGCTAGGTTCTAGTGAGAAGGAATGGAAGGAGTCGGTTCGATTCCCAAAAGTGACCTTGTGTGATTTCAAAATTCGGCAGCTACAGAACATTCAGACCTGGACAGTTCAATGTGTGCTTCCCATCAACCTCTTCAACGAAAAGATTTTCATCCTTCTTTGGTTCTGGCTGGTGTTTGTGGCAACTCTGTCTTCACTTAATTTGATCAGGTGAACTGCTCTTGTTGTTGTTGTTCTTCTTCTTCTTCTTCTTCTTCTTCTTCTTCTTCTTCTTCATTCTTCTTCTTCTTCTTCTTCTTCTTCTTCTTCTTCTTCTTCTTCTTCTTCTTCTTCTTCTTCTTCTTCTTCTTCTTCTTCTTCTTCTTCTTCTTCTTCTTCTTCTTCGTCTTCTTTTTCTTCTTCTTCTTCTTCTTCTTCTTCTTCTTCTTCTTCTTCTTCTTCTTCTTCTTCTTCTTCTTCTTCTTCTTCTTCTTCTTCTTCTTCTTCTTCTTCTTCTTCTTCTTCTTCTTCTTCTTCTGCTTCTTCTTCTTCTTCTTTTTCTCCTCCTCCTCCTCCTTTTGCTTCTTCTTCCCCTCCTACTTCCATTCCTTCTCCTCCTACAGCTCCTTCTCTTCCTTTTCTTTCTCTTCCCTCTTTTCCCCCTTCTCCTTCTCCTCCCTTTCTCCTTCTTATCCCTAATCTTGTTTGTATTTTTTACCCTGTCACATTAATCAATTTCATTACATCAACCCACTTCGTCAAATTAGTCTACTTTGTTACATCAACCTACCCAGTCACATTAATCCACTCCATTACATAAACCCACTCCGTCACATCAACCCATCCCGTGATATTACCCCCACTCTGTTACATCAACCTACCCCTTCACATTAAACAGTCATTAAAATGTACCGTTATATTTTCTCACCCTCCCAGATTAACCCACACACCGAGATTAACCCACGCTCAAATTCAAGATAACCTCTGAAAACTACGTTACAGATATGGGACTAGCTAAAATCTCATCTTCCGTTTAGTAAAACTGCACGTTCGTGATAACACGATCAAAAATGTAATTCCATCAAAGTCAACGAGCAAGATAACCAGCCTTGCGCCATACTCGCTTGGACATTGCCGTTGAGCCCTGGGCATTGAGTCCAAAAAAGAAAACAATTAAGGCCACAGAGGCAAGCACAGTTCAGGCCAAACTGGCAGTCACAACTTTTGTAATGCTTTGCTTTCAAAAAGATTAAGTACGGCAACTGTTTAAAACAAATCACACTGAGGCTAGTCATTGCAAAGTTCTAGTTATAGTTCTTCTTCTTGTTGTTCTTGTTTTGGTTCTTGTTCTTCTTGTTCTCGTTCTTCTTGTTCTTGTTCCTCTTTTTTTGTTTCTTCTTTTTCTTCTTCTTCCTCCTAGTGTCTACTCTTCTTCTTCTTCTTCTTCTTCTTCTTCTTCTTCTTCTTCTTCTTCTTCTTCTTCTTCTTCTTCTTCTTCTTCTTCTTCTTCTTCTTCTTCTTCTTCTTCTTCGTTCGTCTTTTTCTTCTTTATATTTTTCTTCATCATCATCTTCTTTATCATCATCTTCTTCTTCTTCTTCTTCTTTTTTTCTTCTATTTCTTTTTCGTTTTCTTCTTTTTCTTCTTCTTCTTCTTCTTTTTCTTCATCATCATCTTCTTTCATCATCTTCTTCTTCTTCTTCTTCTTCTTCTTCTTCTTCTTCTTCTTCTTCTTCTTCTTCTTATTCTTCTTCTTCTTCTTCTTTTTCTTCTTCTTCTTTTTCTTCATCATAATCTTCTTTATCATCATCATCTTCTTCTTCTTCTTCTTCTTCTTTTTTTTTCTTCTTTTTCTTTTTCGTTTTCTTCTTTTTCTTCTTCTTCTTCTTCTTCTTTTTCTTCATCATCTTCTTCTTCATCATCTTCTTCTTCTTCTTCTTCTTCTTCTTCTTCTTCTTCTTCTTCTTCTTCTTCTTCTTCTTCTTCTTCTTCTTCTTCTTCTTCTTCTTCTTCTTCTTCTTTTTCTTCTTCTTCTTTTTCTTCATCATCATCTTCTTTATCATCTTCTTCTTCTTCTTCTTTTTTTTCGTTTTCGTTTTCTTGTTCTTCTTTTTCTTCTTCTTCTTCTTCTTCTTCTTCTTCTTCTTCTTCTTCTTCTTCTTCTTCTTCTTCTTCTTCTTCTTCTTCTTCTTCTTCTTCTTCTTCTTCTTCTTTTTCTTCATCATCATCTTCTTCATCATCATCTTCTTTTTATTCTTTTTCTTCTTCTTCTTCTTCTTCTTCTTCTTCTTCCTCCTCTTTCTCCTGCTCCTCCTCCTTCTCTAGTTCATCCATCGTGGTGTCTCCAAGCCTTATCTCCTAGATTTTCAATAATTTTTTGACCAACTTGTCCAGCATGTTCTCTCCTGGCCTCCGTCTGCCTCTCTTCCTCTCCAGTTTTGTAACCACGAACTCCAGATGTCCACTTATAGCAGTGTCACTAGCGATTCTAGATTGAATGAATTGTTAACTCACTCAAGTTACAATAATCTACGCCCTCGCGTTGGGGCACTTTGTTTTATTAACTCCGCCTGTAAAATTACACCATGTCGTGACATTAACCCACCCCGTCACATTAATCCACTAAGTTATATTAACCCACTCCGTCGTATTAACCCCCTCCATTAAATTACCCCGCTCCGTGAGTTTAACCCACTCCATCACATTTACTTACTCCGTCACAGTAATCCACTGTATGAAAATCAACCCACTATGTAACATTATGTCACTTTGTAACTTTAACCCACTCCATCACAATAATCCACTGTGTAACATGTATCTACTGTGTAACATTAATCTACTGTGTAACATTAATCCGCTCCATCAAATTTTTTCACTTTGCAACTTTAACTTACTGTCCAACTTTAACTCGCTGTGTACCATTAACCTTCTCCGTCAAACTAACTCACTCTGTTACATTGATCCATTTGGTCACATTAAACAAATCCGTAATATTAACCTACTCCGTGGCACTATACCCACTGTGAAACTTTAACCCACTTCGTGACAGTAACACACTTCGTCACACTGCCATCACATCAAATAAAGTCCTAAGCTGCACAGTCGTGGTGACAGCACTAGCCTTGCGGCCGTAAATCTTCACACTCAAAGACCACCTGCAAAGAGCTAATAACAGTATTTATTGGCACACACACATACACACACACACACACACAAAATACCAATCACATCCAACGCCCTGTTAGCAATCACATTCACACTAAACAACCAAATCACGTTTAAATCAACTTGTAGTTTTAAACTCACACCCTCTACTCTCTTTCAGCTGGCTCTACAGAATCGCCTTGAGAAGAAATCGCACAGGCTATATCAAGAAGTACCTGAGGATCAACAATCACATACACACGGGGTTCGACAAAAAGCTGTGCCAGAAATTCGCCAATGAGTACCTCAGAGACGATGGAGTCTTCGTCATCAGGGTGGTTGCCAAGAATTCCACAGATCTTGTGGCTACCGACCTGGTGGATAAGCTGTGGAAGATCTACCGGAACAAACGGATAAAGAAAGAGGACAACGATGTTCCGATCATCGAGCCTTCATTACCAGCTTCCAATAAAGTTAAAGAAGTTTTACACGCAAATTGATGTGAAGATAGTGCCTAGGTCATTAGTATTGAATGTACTAAATCAATGAGCTTCCACTGAACTATAGAGTGTGAAGTCAGCTGTGATTGCAGTCACGCTGATAATAAAAACTAGGCTAACAGAAGGCAAACTAGGCTAGAAAGTGCAGCGGGGTAGAAGAAATAGATGCCATAAATATAACCGAATGTTGCCACCGAAGTCCTTATCAGCAGTTTGTTGGCACCTATCCAGATGATATTGTTCCATTGTTATATAATGATGAATGGGAATTACATCTCATGGATAAAGGTACTGGACACTTGTAGAGGCCGCGAGGTGTCTGGGCAACACGATGCATCTCTTGCCTGCCTCGTTAACTAAGCTAGGGCAAATAGGGTTGAAACAGGTAGTACCGACTACTGTCATACGATAAATTAAGTCATATCTCATCAATTTAACAGAGAAGAGACAGTACCAACAAATGGTTTATGTTGGTTCGGTCTTATTAACGATTAAAACCACAGGAAATCAACAAAAGACCAGGCTGATCCTTTGGTCGCGTTTGGTTTCCTAATAGCTCTTCGCTTTCCCGTTTTACCGTATGTGTGCATTTGCTTTTTCCTCTATCTCACAGCATTTTATTGCAGTTCCTGAATATGTTTCCTGATAAGGACTTTGCTTGAAATATTCGGTTATGTATGTGCGCGTCGTTTCCATTGCTGCTTTTGATCTTCTTAGTCGTAGCTGTGTTTGATGAAACTTCAGGTTGTGAAGCATCTGGAAAGTATGTAGGTAGCCGACTTCCTTGTGTGAACTAGCCTGGGCAACGCAGGGATTAGGCATCTGGGATCCCGTCCTGCGAGGAGACCTGTCAGCTTCAAATCAGTGTCACTACCTTTAATGATTATGGTATGCTTTTTGGTTGGACCTCAGTAGAGGTTGGCATCAGTTCAAAAACTTGAATGACCTCATTGTTTGATCCATTCTTGCAAACAATGACATTATTTTGAGTGCTTGTGGGGGGTGGGGGGGGGGGGGTGGGGTGGGAAGTTAACTATGTACCGTCTCCAGAGTGAAGGTTGACTGAAGTGTGTCCACTGTTGTCTTTGAGAACATAACTTTCCTAGTAAGCCCCCCCCCCCCCTTTTCCCAATCTCTTTCTCAAAAAAGGCGTTGAAGCCTGAGAACACAGGTGCATTTAGCTCTGTCAAACTTCTCTGCTGTGTGTGTGTGTGTGTGTGTGTGTGTGTGTGCGTGCGTGCGTGCGTGCGTGCGTGCGTGCGTGCGTGCGTGCGTGTGAGTGAGTGAGTGAGAGAGAGAGAGAGAGAGAGAGAGAGAGAGAGAGAGAGAGAGAGAGAGAGAGAGAGAGGGGGGGGGGGGGAGAATAAGCATAATCCCCCCTCCCCCATCCGAATAATTTTTTAACGGTTTAAGAGGTCTCCTATAACCATGTATAGTAAATGTTTTTAAACGTATCCTAATACATTTCATATTAGGCTATCCGAATAACGGGCTCAAAAGATGGCGGCCGTAAAAACATCCTAACAGACCCTCAGTCACGTGTCAATTGCGTTTTCCGGTGACTACCGCCACCGCAGGGTCCGCCAC